AACCGCCAAACCCAGACACGTCCATCGGATTGCCAGACAGAGAAGCATGATGCATCACTCCATAGAACACGTCTCCACTTCTCGATTCTAATGGCAGCGTGCTTTACGCCACTGTGTCCGACGCTTTGCATTGCACTTGGTAATGTAAGGCTTGGATGCAGGTGCTCGGCCATGGAAGCCCATTCCATGAAGCTCTACGCCAATCTGAAGGCCACACGAAGTTTGGAGGTCTGTATCTATAGACTCTGCAGACAGTGACTTCTGTCCACTCTGCACTTCAGCATGTGCTGACCCCGCTCTGTTATTTTACGTGTCCTACCACTTTGTGGCTGAGTTGCTATTGTTCCCAGTTGCTTCCACTCTGCTATAATACCACTAACAGTTGACCATGGAATATTTAGTTGCAAGGAAATTTCACGGATGGACTTATTGCACAGGTGTCAACCTATCATGGTACCACACTTGAATGCCCTGAGCTGCTGAGAGCAACCCATTTTTCACAAATGTTTGTAGAAGCAGTCTGCATGCCTAGGTGCTTGATTTTATACACCTGTGGCCATGGAGGTGATTGGAACCGCTGAATCCAATGATTTGGAGTGGTGTCCCAATACTTTTGGCAATATAGCGTATATACATTTGGATTACCACAGACAAAAGCATCTGGTCAGAGTCGTTTTCTTTGACATAGGCCAGGGATGACAGCTACTCTATGTAGAAACAATAAATATATGTGCATTAAAAATAATCTAACCGAAAATAACATTTGTTTTTGCAACAAAAACCAAAAAAAATAAATTTCTAACCTTTTTTTTAACATTTGTTTATTTTTTTATTTTATTTTTTACTTTACTGTTGGGGGCCCTGGGGATATTTATTTGTTGGAACAGTCTTTTTCTGCAGCCCCTGTTATGAATGAACAGGACGCCTCTAAACCTATGAATGCACATAAAGTAATGTACGGCACTTCCTGTTCATTCATAATTGGGGACACAGTTAACATAGGTGACAAGTTCTCTTTAGGTGACATCAGGGGTCTGTTAGACCCCTGGTGTCCCCTTTCTACTTCAAAAGGAGCTATTCAAGCACACATGGCTTAAATAGCTTCATCCAGGGAATGACAGCTGCCTGCAGTGGCAGTTGAATGTAAACCCGTGTGTGCAATAGCAGATTTGTGTGTGCAATTTCAGATCCAGCAGCCAGCATGATGTCTCTAACTGTGTTTGGTTACAGGTGGCATCCTTCCCGCCTTTACAGGAGGGACAATAATTGTCACAGGTGGAAACTCTTAACCCTATAAGGACCTTTTTGCTGCCAAGGCCTTTTTTCAGTTTTTGCAAACATAATTATCTTTTAGGCCTGAAAATTACTTCAAATTCCCAAACATGTTTTTTTCCGAAAGCCAAGACCCTGTAGAATCAAATGGCGGCAGTTGCAAATTTTTATGTTGTACGATATTAGCGCAACCCTTTATCAAACCCACAAATGTATTGAAAAATGCAATTAAGTTACATTTAGTGCTCCAAAACACAATATAATACCCGTTTTTTGTTTTTTTTTTAAATATAAAAGATGAGGTTACAAATAGTAAAAAGATACCCATGTCCTGGTTAAAAATTGTGTGCGCCTGTGAAACTGTGACAAAATTCAGTACCCCAAAAAGTCAATGGACGACCTATTTTAAAAGCCCCAGCAGGTCATCAATTTAGAGATGCATGTAAATCTTGACCCTAGAATAATTGCTCTCACTCTAGCGTGCATGGCGATACCCAACATGTGTAGCACGATCGCGGTTTTCGTGCGTAGGCGCACCCGACGTGTGTGGGGGACTTGGGGAAAAAAATATGTTTCGTTTAATATTTAAAACACATAGCAGGGACAGGCATTTCAATAAATAGTACAATACATATTTTACATATTTTAATTCAACAAAATTGCTGTTTGTATTGTAGTCATAAAAACGTACTTTACCCAGCCTGCCCGAACCCTAGAATAGTACGAAGCAGTGAGATTCTTTGATATATTAGATATATCCAGTTGACAGATTTGTTGCTTTTAATGTTCAGCTGTATGCATTACAATGGCAAAGTTTCTGTGTTGCTGAAATCTAGCTTTACTAATGTCCTATGTATTCTTATGATTTTCAGCTTTCTTGTGAAATGTATTTATTACAGATTGTGTCATTTGGAACACATTTGCAGGAAGGCAGGTGAATGTTTGCAGCTACTGTGCACATAAGCTCCTGTGAGTTACAGCAGTGCAGCCGGCAGAATGCCCCCATCTGTCATCCAAAGCCACTTTGCATATACAGACCTAGGGCTGCCACAACTAATCGATTAAATGGATTATAATTGATAATTCTCATCACTTAGTTGGTTGAATCCGCAGCTGCCCCAATCTGCTCCTCTGTTCTTCTCCCCGCAGTGGTCCGGAGAGGAGGAAAGACAACTGTACCTCTGCATTCCTCTGCTGGTGCCCCCTGTTTCTCCGCTGCTGTCTACGTCTGTTCGCTCCTGCCCTCGTTCCTGTGCTGCTTCTGTGTCTCTGCTGCTCCCTCCATGCCCCGGTGCTCCCCCCGTGTCCCTTCTTCTGCCGGTGGTAGAAAGGTGGCGTCAAGTCTCCCCTCAGCAGATGGAAACAATAGCCAGCCTCCTATTGGCTATTTTTCAGTTGTAATAGCCAATAGCAGGATGGCTAATGCAAATGCCTGCTGCCAATCAACAGAGGAGGACCTGAAGGCCAATCACAGGCTGGCTATTGCTTCCAGCCACTGCCTGCTGTGTTGACATTCAGCTGCCTCAGCGGGCAGCTCTCATTCCCTAAGTGGAAAGGTGACAACTAGGGGCCTAACAGATCCCTATTGTCACCTTTAAAGAGAACCTGTCACCTCCAATGTGCTATCACATAGGGAGCTTGTGAACCCCCCCATGTGATAGCAATGAGATAAAAATACCCCCAAGTCCCCCAACCCCTCGAACGCGTGCATACTAACGGAAACAAAAAGTAAACTTTGTAACATTCCATTTGTGTATTTTATTTGTAAATAAAAGATGATCATTTTGTTTATCCCGTTAATCGAAAAAATGATCGGCCAGTTTCGGCCCTATACAGACCATATTGTGGGTGTTACTGAGTGGGCAAATTGTTTTTGTGATTTTCTTTTCTTGCAAAACAGGAAGGAGCCAATTCTTGAACAGAAATTGAAGCCAGTAAATGAAATAAATGTATATGGCAATTCAAGTATTAGAATAAAATATTAATTTAGTTTTATCATATTGCAATGTCTACATGGCTATAATTATGCTTTAAAACTATCAATAGGGACATTCTGCCTAAAGGTGCCCATACACCTTACAATTATCTGGATTTTTTTTGTCTGCGATTGTATTTTCATCCGCAAATCTGCCAGTTGATAGGGAGTGTACAACCTTAATTACTGTACAACTGGCAGATTTCTGTCTTTCAAGCTGGCTAGAAAACGTTTGTCTAGTTGGACAGAAATGGACAGGTTAGTGGCGTCGTTGTACTACAAAAATCTCAAGATGAAAACTGCACATGGTAAAACGAAAATCTGTCCTTTTCGATCAATTAAAATTGGCCAGTGCTGATGAGCATTAATTGTGAACTACAGTGGTCTGTGCATGATGGGCTAGTTGTAAGAAAATTGAACGAGGATGAGATGTCTGGACAAAAAAAAGTTGTACAATGGTTGTAAAGTGTATGACCACCTTAACAGGGACACTGATAGTAAAATAGAATCTGCATCAAGCGAAAGCCAGAACTCAAGCTTCTAATGAGGCCACAAAGGAGAGAAATGGGTCATTGATGCCCCCAAAACATTGGTATTATGCTAACTTTTACTATGATTTTTCTACTTTGAGCTCATTAAAAGCTTGAGTTTTTAGTGAGTGCTGGCTTTCTCTTCATGCAAGTTCCTTACGCTATCATCATTGGCCATGCACTCTGCTACTGAGGCGTGGTGGGTCTGGTTATTGATGGATTTCTCTACATTAGTTATCGCCGGTAAAATGATCTGGCTCTTGCAAACTGTTCCTCCCATCCATGCAGACATGCACTAACATGGAAGTGTCAATGCACTCCAAGTGCAGTAACATCACCGCACTTGCAATGACTGGTAGTTTCTCCATTCACAAACCGATCTGTGATTGGATGACAAGTCTGTGTGGGTGGAGCCAAGCACAGCCACGTCAAATTCAAAAATGGGACCAAACCTGCAGAGAGAAGAACCCCACGATTCAGATAAGGGAGGGTGTCTGTGATTTGACAGTGTTACACCCTAAATATGGGTGTAAACATGTTTAGAGCAGAAAAGTAGACTAAGCTTTTAAACAAAAAAATAATTGTTATATAAAATATACCAGTAAAATACACAGTGGTGTTTTAACCCTGTTAATTTGAGCTTTCATCTATATTGTAGGTTCCCCTACCCCTCTGCCAGACTTATACTGACGTGTCCCTAATCAAGAGAGATTTTCTAACTAGGCTGCACTGCCGATTGTGATTGTCAAAATATTCTAAGTAAGACCCACTGATGTAGTTTGCGCTCTCCATACAAACCTGTTGCGATTTAATTATCTGTGTTTTGGAGAAGTCTGAAGCAAACAGCCCCAGACTCTGTTTTGTGATTTTTCAGGAGGTGGGTGAGCAGAAATGTGACTGCAGTGCTGAGGTCCATGAGACCTGTAGCTTTTACAGCTGGAGTGGGCTCGGGAGCTGGACTTCCACACTCATGTGAACATGAAGTTTGGGGGAAGGAGGAATTGTGAATTATGCCAGGTAGCTTTAGAGCAAAGGCATTGTTCGATTTGCTTAACTCCAATAAGATTATTGTGCCCGGAGTTGGGTTTTAAATTGTAAATTCTAAGATATTTGAAGTTCCACTAAAATACAATTTGCAAATGTAAGGAAAATTGTTAACTGTGATCTGATTATTTCTGCCTATACCTTAAACTTTGGGTTTTTTTTTTTTTTTTTTTTAATAGATTTTCACCCATGGGAGTTGATCATATGAGCAGTATATCTGGTGTGAATGTTGCTAGCAATGCTTCCTCTGGATGGTGCATCTTTATTTACAACCTTGGGCAAGATGCAGATGAAGGAATCCTCTGGCAGATGTTTGGTCCTTTTGGAGCAGTCACTAACGTGAAGGTTATCCGTGATTTTAACACCAACAAGTGCAAAGGTTTTGGTTTTGTGACCATGACAAACTATGAAGAAGCTGCCATGGCCATTGCAAGTCTTAATGGCTACCGTTTAGGGGACAAAACCTTACAAGTTTCCTTCAAAACAAGCAAGTCCCACAAATAACTTGCTCTTAAATTTTGTATGCAATAGAGAAAACAAGATTGAAGTCGGGGAAGACTTTTTTCTTTGTTAGTGTAAAACTCATTTTGCGCCAATTTTCACAAGTGTCTGTCTTAGTCTTAAAAAAGAAAAAGGATTTTTTATACTCTGGGGATGCAACTTACATGTTCAAATGTTTGAGAGTTCCCAACATGTTAGACCAATTTTTAAGTTATTTTCTTTAAGTATAAAAAAAAAAATATATGGTTTGAGAACATACCCTACAAATAGTGATACAATTAAGCATTTGCGGACTTTAAAGACTTTCAGGTTTGGTGTTTGGGTTGATGTTTTCCAGACGCTGAAAACTTTTTAAACCAAGCTGTCACGTTGCCAGCTTAAATATCTGTATATATACAGTGCTTCTCTCCTCCCTGTTATTGTTGTCTTGCCTAAATAGTAACTGTTTACAGTTCAGGTTTCTAAAAATGGAGACATTAGTATCCTCATGTCTTTTTTTATCCTATCTGCAGAGTAACTGTGGGGCATTCAATGACTTGTATGTTATAGTTTATAGTTATTTTGCCAGTTACTTTTTGGAAAAAAAAATTTCCCTTTGTTTTTCAAATTAAGTAGTTGGCATTTTGTAAGAATACAGCCACACATTTCAATTTTTTTCTTTTAAATTGTATGTTAGCGTGAAATAAAAAAAAATCCTATGTACACTTATGCCGTCTATTTTTAAATAAGTGATTTCCATCTTTCAGATCAATTATTTTTAAAGTTGTGATATCACTATGATTTATTTAAATTGGCCCTTAAACGATAATGAAAAATGCAGTTCCCTGTAAAATTTTCCAATTTTTTTTCACGAATCCAGCTGAAACATAGTGAAGGACCAAAGAGTTATTTGAAAACTCCAGTTAGAGTTTTTATATGAACTCAAGTAATATTTCTTGTAGCTATCAAGTTTTCTGTTCCATGTATGCTGCATGGTTCTCTTTGTATTGGTACAGCATAAGTTAAAGATACCTTTTTTCCAGGGAAGGAGGGTGGGTGACTGTAAGTATACAATTTAACTTCCTACTCAAGAACATTTGTAAACATTTGAGCATTTAACATTTTTGCATCCCTGTTTGTGAATTTTCTTTCTTGGTAGACCACTTTGCATATAAATTTTTCTTTTTAATTTTAGAGTATTAACCTAATGATTTGATTCGTAGTTAAGTAAACCTAATTCCCTACCCAAGATTTCTATGAACTGCCTTGGAGTTTCTTGTTTTTTGTTTTGCTTTTTGTGTTTTGTTTTGTTTTATTTTGCATTTAAGACCATTAAATTTGATTTTCTTTTGCTCAGCTTTTGTTTTTTGTTTTTGTTTTTTGTTTTTGTTTTTTTTTCCCTATGGTTTTGTTACTACTGCTCCTCTAGCAAGCTACTTATTGACATCAGTCATGAGCTAAATGCATGGGCTACCATTGACCCCTTCCTAAAGGGAAAACTTATACTTCTGCTGCAAATTGTTGTTTAAGGCATGTTTGCCTGAAGAAATATTTACCTTGTCCTTAATTCCATCAATCTTCACTGTGCAGTCTTGCCCAGAGCCACGCATCCTTGATTTAAAAAGCTTTCTACCATGTCCTCCATATCCTGTGCACATGCGCTGCAGTCCTATTCATTCCTATGAGGAGCCTAATTCATGGTCCTTCTGCAGAGTACATCACTTCCTATAGGGCACAACACGCATTAACAAAATGAAGAGGACATGGAGGAACACTTTTTTTAAGCAAGGATCTGTGACCAGTGAAGATCACTGTATCGAGTGCAGAGTGTTTCTTCGGGTGGTCTGCACTTGGGTGGGGAAGGGGCATGCCTTGAAGGACAACTTGTACCAAAGGTATTCAACTATCATGGTGATTTTCTTGTGTCAATGCTTTTGAAGTATCATGGACATGGCATATAGTCAAATGTTTCCCTCCTTTGGTTAGAACTCCCCCTATTTTGGAGGTTACGGTTGGTCAAGATTGAGCTTAATTTTCTGGATATATGTTCCGGACACTTAACACGATTTCATGCCTTGGTTCTCTGTTACACCATGGAGTATTACCCTATATCATGCTGAAGCTGGGATGTTTCTGCATTCTCTGTAATCCATGCAGGAGAATCTGAATCATGTGATAGATGCATTTTTGTGCTGGTTGATCCTTTCGAAGTTGACTGCTTGTTTCTCACAAGAGCCAGTAAGGTGCCAGCTGTATTTTCTTTAGTATGGATTAAAAAAATAAAAATAAATCTGGTTTACTCTCGGAGCACTCCTTTTTCCACCTTCTGCTTTGGTTTTTATAAATACAATTTCCATTGATGAATACAGCTTGATAAAAAAAAAAAAACCTTACAGGAGACATGGATACTAGGCACATAGAAAACTCAAGGCCAGTCCCCTTGAGGCTAAAGCCCCTCCCACCTTACTTTTGCTCAGTTTCACTTAACGTCCTCGAGAGAATGGAAGTATTTTCTGTTCTTTTGGATGATTTCTCTAAATAAACAGTTGGTGTTAGGCCAAACACTGCAATGCTGGAAGTCTCTGCAATCAGCCAACAAGGGTAGGTTTTCCCAGTTTGTGCATATTGAAGTTCTGCCTGTGACTGTCCTAAATTCTTTGAAGTTTCTCCAGTCAGACGAAAAGCACTTTCTCTCCCAGTTCACCAAGTATGCTAGTATGCTATTCTCTGCCCAACCTGTCTTAGTATGTTCTAGCTAGCACAGGACCTGTCTTAGTATGTTCTAGCTGCTTTCAGGTCTGGCTCATACATCTGGGGATTTTAATTGTGGACTTATTGGCCCTGGGGCTTTGGCAGTGTTCCTGTCCTCTGCCTCTGAAGATTCACTGTTAAATATGTAGCAGGTCTCATGCTGAGGTTTTTTTCCTCTGTATGGCACTGAGGCAGCTGTAACCAGCTGGTTAAAATTCTAATTTTACTACTGTGCTTGCACTTTAATGTAATTTGCAAGCTGGGCACATGGGGGTACCCTCCTCCTTTTTCTTGCCATTTTTAGTTTCCTAATGACACAGGAGTACATTTGTAATGTACTCTTGTAATCAAAAACCCACCATAAGCTTGCACTTGAGTATAATATACTGTTTGCAGAGCTCTGTGCTGAAAAGTAATCCTGATATTGTCAGGATCCTCCCCACTCTTGACTCCTCCCATTGAGTGACAGCACCTTGGAGGAGCTGCTGTGCGTTCATGAATACCTGTGCAGGCACAGCAGCTCTGTCCCTGCTTCCCCTCCACACTGCTGTCTCCATCTCTTCTCCCTGGCTTATGAATAACACTGTCCCTGAATACCATCCATCCCTGCATGGAGGACAGAGGCGGGGACAGATGTGATGCAGGGACATTTTTATACATGATGACCCGGGGAGAAGAGATGGAGACAGCAGCATTGAGAGGAGACTGGGACGGAGCTGCTGCACCTGCGCAGGTAGTAATGAACACGCAGCAGCTCCTACAAGGAGCTGGCCACTTAATGGGAGAAGAGTGGGGGGACAGGTGCGGAATTCGTATCGCCTGACGCCCGAGACATGCAGTCCGCTCTTCTGGGGGACCCGGGACCAAGGCAATCATTTTAGGATAGGGAGCAGATTGGAGAATGTCTGTTCTCTGCTTTGCTCTGTGTGATCACAAGCTGCACAGAATCAAGCACAGTGCAGTTGTTCGATATTCTGTGTTGGAAGGCAGATTCCATAAGGAGAATGTCACTTCCATACACTATCACATAGCTTGTTAGCCCCTATGTGATAGTAATAAAAAGTGATAAAGTAAATAAAATAATAAAATTAAAAATTCTGTGCAATTAATTTGGGAAAATGGAATTATCCGCTCAAATCTGGCCAACCCTCTACCCATATTCCCTCCCCCAGTGTTATACTTGCCTTTCGGCGCACGGTCCTTCCCCTCCACCAGTACAGGTGTACTATCTGTACCCCATACTTCCATCCAGCACAGCCCGGCCCTATGGATTTTGAATCTCACTCTCAAATTGCGAGCACTCGTTGGTCAAGTGACCACACTGACCAATGAGAAGCGCTTCTTTGCATGGTTAAAATTATTTTTTGTATCCGGTTAAGTGGATTGGTCCCCCGCTTTAGTTTTAGTCCTTGGACAAGTAGTTTTTTTTTACATTTCCACACCCCTGGGGGAGCATACTGACAATATTGTCGGGATCGTTTCTCTGCACAGAGCTCAGCTCCACCCACAGTATATTATATTGAAATGCAAGCTTATGGTGGATTTTTGATTACAGGCGTACATTGCAAAATGTACTCCTGTATCATTAGGAAACAAAAATGGCAAGGGAGTGTACCCCATAGTTCTCTTTTAAAGATCTTTCATTTGTACTACGGTAGGTTTCCCTCTGCCTTTTTGTCTAGGTTTTTTTCTGCCCATCTTTTTTTTATCTATTCTCGGGCTTAGTAGTAAGAGTTGTAATTTTCGGTTCTGGCAGTTGGGCACTGGTTTTTCCGGAACCACTATTTTAAAATTCATGCCTTCTCTTCAGGCCTTGATGATACAGCAAATGTTAAATGGTGCATTTTTTGCTTATGCACCGCACATCCACCTAGCAGCTGCCTCTTCTGTGCTGAGAACAACACACTGCTGGGGAGAGGAGATAGTAAGACTGCTGTTGAGGGGGGCTCAAACCACCAGCTGTGACCTGACCAGGAAAACTCAGGTGAGAGAGGTACAGCTTCCTGTTCCTTTTGAGTGCAGGTGGGAATAGAGGAGGAGCAGGGAAGGAGGCCTTGCTTGTAGTCTGTGTACTATAGAGATTAGCTCCTGTGTATGGCGCTTTCTCCAGTAAGATAGCCTAACTTAAACCTAAGCCTACAGTGTCCAGTGACTGCTAGCCATAGCAGATTTTTTTTTTAGCCTCTTGTATACGCAGCTGACCTGGTCCATTAATATTACTGGTGATTTGTGTAGTTATTTTTCTCTTCCATTCATTGAAGGACACATCCATTTTTCCATTCAACGGAAGGGTTATATCGCTGCCTGCAGACGCTAGGAACAAAACAAAAAGCTCCTGCTGATGGCTCAACCCCGCACTAGCTGGAGGCAGCTTAGTTTTTTTTACTAGCATCGAGGAGTGAGGACCTGGCTCCCTGTTGGGATCTCGTTATGGTTTTTTTGGTTTTTTTTTTATTCGTATCCGTTTTTCTATTCTGTTTCTGTAAGTGGTTGATCTTCAATCAAACTGAGTGACAGGCTGGATCCTTGTAGTCTCCCCAGCTTAGCCTACAAATGCGCACAGAACTTGACGTCTGATTCGGCTGCAACAGCTCCTTCTGGTTTCTGGGGCATCCTGTGAGTTATCTCCCAGGGGGATGCATATAACAGAGCAACCTGCTGCTGCTTTTTCACAGTGTCCCCCCTAGGCTTCTAGCGCCCCCCACGTGGTGGAAGGTGGTCTGGATGGAATTTGGCACCATGGCAGTCATGGACAGATGAGGGGGCTTGGGAGTAGACTGGGTGCCTTTTATCTCCCTGGTTGTGGGTTAACTTATGGGTCCCCTCACCTTCCTGTGTCCATCCGTACAAGAGGGTGGTGGAAAGAGCTGCCCGGGGTTTGTGTGTGACCGCTTATGTGCTGAAGGTGGGATTCTTTTCAGGGCTGGCTGCTGACATCATCAGCTTGTCCCCCACTCGTTGCACACCACTAGGCGGAAGTAGGATGTGGAAGGCTGCTGCGTCTCTGCTTTGCACACCTGGGGATGGTAAGCTGTGGGTGGCTTTGTGCTTCAGTGGCTGACAGACATGTCT